CTGTGCTGGCACGCAAGTCAGGAGAGGTGAGAAGAGAAGATGGATTGAGCTCCAATTCAGCTGAATATTGTAGTGGTTGATCATTTGATTTCTTTTTCTTTTCTTCTTTATTTATTTATTTTTGGTTTGTTTTTTGTTTTTTTTTTTTTTTTTTTTTTTTTTTTTTTTTTTTTTTTTTTTTTTTTTTTTTTGCTCCCCTCTCAAGTAATCTCAGGTCGTGGTCAGGCTTGTTTCTTTGATCCTTTTCTCTGTGCTTAGATTTGAATGTGTTCTTAAAAAAATTTCTACGGAGGTATATTTTGTGAAGACCTGGATGTAATGCCACTTGTCCTGATTGTGTATGTACACCCATACAGGAACAGAGCTGTGCCCAAAGAATATACTTTAGTACTGTGTTTTTAGGACATTTAGGCTTTGACAAGGAGGAAGAAAACCTGTTGCCTTAAGAGTTGATTATACCTGCTTAGATGGAAGGCAGAGGAAAAATGTCCTAGCTTCTTGCCAGCCCTTCTCCACAAAAACAGAGGCAGGAACGAGCAACCCACAATTCCAGCCAGGGCTGTGGTTTTGCTGGCACACTCAGCAGAATTGCTTGTAAAACTTGGAGAGCAGTTGTGTCCGATAACCCCTGCCCAAGCCGGGGAGATAACGCCGAGGCGGGAACTTCCAGCTTGTTGCTTTTCGGCTGCCCTATCCACGCATGAAGAGAAGCAAACTCTTGTTTTAGCACTGGCCTCAGGAGCGTGGCTCTGAGTCTATGTTAGTGAACAACTTCCATGTACTTTCCAGAAAATGATTGACCTTTTAATATTCTGTTTGTTGGCCAGCCTTAAGAGACTAGAGAGCAAACAGATATGTACTCGTTTTCCGTTTTATTGATTAGCTTTGAGCACTACATTGCTCTCGTGCATCACTTTTATAGCTACCATGCGATATTAATTATGAAACATATGAATTATTAATACCCCTTGCCATCGTTGACTCCCCAGATGGGATATATAAACACCTCTGCTTGTCTACCATGCACAGTGTGTTCTCCTGCTTCAAATAACTCAATTTTTGGTGGATATATCCTTTGGATTTTTGAGCTTCTCTAGTGCCTGCATTCATGGTGATGGGTTGTTTGAGATTGTAAGGAGTTGCTTTTGGATCCTCTGTAACTAGAGCTTCTTGCCAAAGCATTCATTCTGAAAACATAAGATTTTGAAGTATTTATTTAAATTACTGGCCAACTCTATTTTGTACAAGTAGGAATTTCTGGACATGATTTCTGGACATCTCTGTGAGCAAGGGAGATACAAACTTTTAACGACAACTTGAATAAGCACCAGCTTAGGTCTGTTTCAAACGTTTGCTTTGTGATTTAGTTGCCTTTGCAAGTTGTCCAGTTGCATGGAGAGCCACGCTTTGCTGTTTGTATTTTGTTCTCTTTCTTCATTTTTGGATCAACTAGACGAACTTCACAGTTAAGTTTGCTAAATGAGTTGTCATCTTGATTGAATGCACATTATAAATATGTATTTCAGTTGGCATCTTTGGGATGTGAAATGAGCTGTGCAAGAAGAGTGTTGCCCGGAGATCGATACTCTAAGTCCCGTATTCAGGCTTGTGGTTTTGTTTTTGACTCTCTGAGGGACAATTTAATCCAGTAGGTGTTGTTCAGTATTGGAATTGCAGTGCTATTGACCAGGACAAACTAGGCTTGTACTTTTATAAATACTCAAAGGTAAGATTTCAGTGGGATGAAATGCACATGAGTGTTTGTACCATTCTTTTTTTCCCCCCTTATTTTCTACCTCTGCCTGTTGAGTGGATCCTATCCTTCCCCTCCTTTTTCACACTAAATTCTGTCTTCTGCATTGCTATATTTATTAATCTCACTGCCTGAACTGGTGTGTCTAATTATTCTGACACTGGTTTATCAAATGCTACAAAAGCTTTCACAGAATAACATTCCTCCTCTGTTAAGTTTTCTACGGTTATTTTGGCTGAAGTGGACCAAGTTGTTTTGTATTCCTGATGCCTGCTTTCTCAGCTAGCTAGCTGAAGGGCAGCTGTTAATTTGGCATTTAAATCTCAATTTACCTGCAGATATGTTGGTGCCCCTGCCAGGGAAGCCTTCCAAATGGTGATGGAGGTGACAGCGTTTTGATGTTTTAGTCACATCATATATAATGATATGACCACAGCACGATTTATGTGAGATGTCAGGTCCAACATGCCATGCAGCCAAAAAGCTAGTAATTGTAGGATTAATTTAGGAGAAGCCAAACCAAGTGAGTACCAGATAAGGAAATATACCACAAGCTGGGCCCGGTGCAGTTAGTGACATTCTTCATGGACATTTTGAAAAATACATTTTTCAGTGAAGCAATCAGGTCATTATGGCTAGTCTCTTTAGAATCTTCACTTAGGAAAAGGATACATCTTCAGCAGAGTGCTTGGAGTTCTGCCTCAAAACAGTAAGAGGAGGAATGGAAAACCAACTGGAAAGGGAAAATTGATGGGTGAGTGCATCTCATGTGAACGCATGAAAACCCCCTCCAGCAGTTAGATGTCCAGTATATCAATTGAATAAAAGGTAAAAGATTCATCTTCCCTCATTATCTCTTTCTTAAATCATGTTGTTGGAGAGAAGCAGACAGATTTCAGCCCGTGCTCAGTTAGCTTTTCCATTCTGCTTTGCACAGAATCAGGGCCACCAAAAAGTGGCTTAGCTGGCCCATTGTGCTGATTGCCAAGAAGTCATACATCACCATGAGGTGGTGAGAGCACCTGGCACACATCTTGAATGAAGATTCAGAGAGGGCATGAGATGGATATCAAGTCTGTGTTTTTTTAACTTTTGCCAAAGATGACAGTTTGGATACTAAGGAAGGTTAATACCAACCCAAGCTTGTAAGGAGACAACAGTGAATACATTGAATGTAACCTACTGAATTTAGCTACTCAGAAATATTTGAAATAGGTTTCTTGGATTTTGGATGGTAGGAAAGGATAAGAGCATTAAGGAATATTCTTCTACAGTTTAATGTTATTCCTCTTGTCTTGCTGGTGTGCATGACTGGTCTTCCAAATTTCCAATATGCTTACCCAGTATGCTACAATGCTTGCAGTAGAAGGTATTTAGGTTGTTCAGGTAAAATGACGAAGGAGTCAAGTGTCTCAGGGATGGTACTGTGGAAAAAGGTAAAATGTAAATTCCATGTTAAAACCTTTTCGATACTGTTTATCCCCAGCTTAGTGTTATTCTGTACTGAGAAAGAGTCTGCATGAGAAAAGCAGCATTTATCCAGTAGAGTACATGTTATCAACCCTAAAATCTTTATTCTTACCCTTTCCTGTTGTGAAGTTATGCCGGCTCAGTGAAATAATTTGTGTGTCTAAAATGAGGCATAAATTCTCCTTAGTTAGTTTTCAGCTATTTGCACTAATTTAGTCAGTTTTATTCAAAAATTTCCACTAGTTAAAGTATGTTTTACAAGTTAGCTATTTCATCAGAAAATATCATGTGCATAGTTTGTGAACACACCAGTGCGTGTATCTTCTTAGATACCAATTATGGTTGCTAATGGTTTCCTGTCTTCATGAGCTCTCCACATGCCATCCAGCTGGATGAAGGCCACACGGCTGTAAGAGGGCAGCAGCTGAAAGACTGAACACGCAGCACTCTTCCTGTACATCCTAAAGTTGTTCTCTCTGCTGATAGCAGAAGTGTCTGTGGTGGTTTACGGGCTTCTCTAAAGGCAAGATACCTCCTCCCAAGCCCGGGTAGTCTAAACAGCCTTGAATTTAGATCCTTTAGGAGATTTCAGAGATGGCAGGCACAGTCCAGTCAGCAGTGTGCCGCTTTCCAAATTCCAGCCTGTAACCATGAATAGCTTATCTTTTATTTGGTATTGCCAATGAACTGTGATCCAAATTATAATGTCCTGTGCCATTTGTGAGCTTTGGACATAGCTTTCCACTTGTAAGTGAGTAAATAAGGCCAAAGCGTCCCAGTTGGCTCCTTTTCAGAAGAGTCTCCTCGGGTGTGAAATTCACAGTCTATTCCTAAAGTGAATTTTTGCGCCTGTGAGCTCCCATACAGTGCAAGAGAATATTATGCCGTTGCTGCTATGAGAAGCTATAGCCAGGAGAAGGAAACAGCTGTTCTTACGCTTTCACGTGGCACCTTAAATATTCGTAGCTGAATAAAATTGTTCTTGTCAATGTCCAAATGTGCACGAGTGCTCCATGCGTCTCTGCTGTTGGTGACTGATCTCCATCAGGAAGGCAACCCAGGGTCTTCTCACTGCTAAAGCTAACAAGAGCCGAGTGAATTAGCTGCAGGCAGCCTGAGTTCAGGCAGTGTTAAACTGAAGTGATTTCCCAAAAAATACGTAAAGAATTGATGGGGCTTTAGTCACGCACTGTTGATAAAGGACAGTGAAAGAAATGTCAAGATTATTTAACGTATTTGTGCTTACATGGGGTTTACTGCAGCTGCTGTTTGTCCTCTGATCCCCTAACTTTTCCATGGGAAATTCCCATGCAGCGGATCGGGAGCTTGAGGAGGCCAGGAGGTTTTAGTGTTGGCAAGGGTGAAGGCCAAGAGACGCATTTGATATCAATGATTTTAATAAAACCAAAGCATGACAAGCTTGTTGCTCTGTAGTTTGTGTTGTCAGCTCCTTCTGTGTCCCTGTAGCTGTTTTCTGGCTAGCACAGCTTTGCCTTTTTCACATCATCATCACAACCTTACATTTTTGACACAGTCTTCATATTTTTCTCAATCTCTCTTTTTTTAGTGTGTATCTGGGGCTGGTATTAATAATTGAAGAAACTATTGAAGGAACTTGGCTTTGTTACTGGAGAGCCATGCAGAGGTGTCAACCTGTGGCAGCTGACTGCTCTACCTTCCCTCACTAGTTCGACATACTGAATGAGCATCCCCTGGAATAAGTGACCAAACATGGCAACTTTTCCTTTTCCTTTGCTTTCCATTCCAGAGCTGGAATATGGACACGGTGCATCACACGGTGACCACGGCGGAGATCCCCGACCACGCTCTTTACACAGTTGGAACGTGCGTCCTTGTCATCGGCACCATTGGCATCATTGGAAACCTCCTGGTTCTCTACGCCTTTTACAGGTTTAAAACTTTTAATAATCAAAACAGCAACCTTTTTCCTTCACTCGCAATGTAGAAATTGCAGAATATTTGCCCAGGCTGCCACTATTTCCCTCAGCCTGCAGTGTGCTGCAGGGACTGAGGAAGCAATGAGGTACGTGCAGCGAGCTCATGCCAGCTGCCTGCTCCCTGCTTCAGGCAGGGAGATCATAGGATTCCTGTCAGTTTGTATGTGCTGGTGCCTTCTGACAGTGTAAAACATAGAGGAAGCAACAACAGATAGCGTATGTGAATATTTTCAGGAGAAAAAAAAAAGAAAAAAGCCTTTTATTCTATGTTTTGATGCTGTCTTTCCAAATCCTTGTTGTTCATTTTGTTAGCAGCATTCACTTTAGTGCCAAGGGTGTTTAGCATGCTAGAAATACCAGTGGGGGTGAGATTCAAATGTTAGTTTAATAATCTTAATTCTTAAAGCAAAATATTTAAATAATTGGCATGAGAGAAAAGAGAAGCTGAATTCTCAGCAAGTGTTAGCAGTTGCGATGCTTGCAATACACTGCAGGCTTTATGACTTTCTTAAAATTCTGGCTTTACATTGTTCAATAAATTGTAAAAATGTAAAAAAAAAAAAAAAAAAAAAAAAAAAAAAAAAAAAAAACCACAAATGCATTGAATCAGCATAGGGAGAAACTCTTATCAGGCAGAACAAGAGCACCTCAGAGCTGTGAACTCTGTACCCCTCCCACTCAGACATTGGAAACAGCTGTGAGAGCTGTGATTTCAAAGGAACTGCGAAAGGGCTGAGACATCTGTCTTTATCTGTTTCTTTATCAATGTTTCCTTATTAATATAAGGAACTTGATGTAAACTTTGAACAGTTGACGGTTTGCTAGTATGGTAGCTAGTATTGGTAGAGCACCTGCACCTTCTCAGCGTATCCATCGAAGTGCCAGTTACACTGTAGATTGGGGTGAGCTGCTCACAAAAATTAATTTAACATGCCTCATGAAGCATCGTATTTGATTGGAACAGTGAGGGAATATTCAGCCCAATAATCCCAACCAAAAGTGAAAGTGAGTATCACTCCATCAGTATTTTTATTCCTCTTAGAGCCAAGGATGATCTCAAGCAGCATTTTTAAACTTCCTAGGAGATTATAGCTCCAGACATCTCTAAGAAGTGGGACCATGAAATGGCGGTGAGATGTGAGCACAGGGTCTGGGAGGAAGCAGTGAAAACATTGTTTGTTTTCCTCAGGCAAACTTTGCCTTGTTGCTGACTGGCTTCTGCTTTCAAACTGCCTGTATGGCATTTAATGCTGCCTGTTTATCAGCAGCTGAGTGTTTCTGTTCTTGCTTATGTATGGAGAGAAAAAAAAAAAAAGTATTATTTCAAATTCTTAGCTTGTGCCGTGGCGCTTTGTGAAGACCAATTTAGTTACTGCCAATGCAGTGACTCTTTAGATCAGCAGCTATTAAAAGTTCATCCAAAAAGTGTCCTTGGGCTCTGTAACCTGCTGCAGAGCCTGACCTTGCAAAGCGTGGTGGGTACCCGCTGCTAAATGGACCGGGGGAATGAGGGAGAAACATATTTTTCAGGATAGCTGGAGCCCTTCTGTGTTTGAAGGGGAAGCGATTTCCATTATTCCCCTTGCCCTTGCTAGTTATCCTTTGAAGTGACTCCATCCGAAGCAGCAGCCGTTGGCAGATGGGTGAAGTAAATGGCTGCAACTTGGAAATGCTTGCTTGCATTAGCAAGTAAAGTTAGTCGGCTATTCATTTTATATGTTTTAAAATGTGTGTTTCTCTCTATTTTTAGCAACAAGAAGCTGAGGACGCCACAAAACTACTTCATAATGAACCTGGCTGTGAGCGACTTCCTGATGTCTGCTTCACAGGCGCCCGTCTGTTTTGTCAACAGCTTGCACCGAGAGTGGATTCTTGGGGATATAGGTATTTTGCAACACTAACTGGTGCCCTCCTGGCTCTGCACTTTCTACAACCTGTTTTAGCTATCAAGACCTTGGCTTATGCCAGGGAGCATGGTAGCATGGGACTCCTGAGCAAAAACAGAGTATCTTGGCATGATCAGCCATCATAATGGCCTAAGTACTTTGTGTTTTATAGGCTTGATTCCTTAGTCTTTCGCATACTGGAATGAAAGGAGTCAACATCAATGTTTAATCCTGTGACTTTTTAGCACGCAGAAGGCAGATACCGTTGCTAGAGATGAATAGAAAACAAACCATTTTTGTTTTTTCTTTATTCAGTTTAATAAGGGGTTAATATTTTTATTTGCAGATGTATGTTGACCATTAGTATGGTTCAAGGAATCTCAGATTTAATTAACAGAATTAAATAGTGAGAGTCAATAGAGTCAATAGTCCGTGCAAATTCATGTTCCTTTCCTTCCAACTGCAAGAAAGAAATGGAGATGCTTCAGTTACAGACCAAATACCAGAATAACACGTTGTCATAAGGCCTGATGCACTGTTTATTACTGTTTATCAGCTCATTAGATGTAAATTTGTGTCAAGCAGTGGTAGTGTATTGGTGGAGCAAGTCCAGAGACAAGGTAATATTTAGCAGCAGAGAAGGGACTAATGCATATATTAACCTAATGAATACATGAATTCTAATGAATACAATGAATTACATGAATGTAATGAATACAGTGAATTCTAAGGCTATTAGTCCTGCTTATCCGCGTAGATAAAATCAGCCCACATCTTATTTGCTGACTGTAAATGGTCATGCTGCCCCAAATGAAGCCATTGACTGAGGCTGAGCCGGATTTGGTCAAATTAATTGGGGGTTTTTATTAAAAACTTTGCAAAAAGGTGGCTTTAAGGTTGAATTTGGTGTTAGGGCTGTCTCTTGTTCCTGGTGGGCTGTAGCCATAAGACGTGGCACATGATCACAAGAAATGACCAATCATTAGAAACATATCTTTGAATTAAGTGAGGTACAGTGTAACTGTGCAAGTTTTCATCTGCTAGAACAGTATTTGAATGCAGAGAGGAAAAAAATGTTTGTTTCAAGTGAAATCAAAATGGGAAAAAAAAAAAAAGTAATTCAAGTAAAAAAAAAAAAAAAAAAAAAAAGTTTTAAAAAAGTGTAACATTTGAGAAGACCAGGAGCTGCTGCATTTTGCAGCCTGTCTTTCAGCCATTGGGTTGGAAATATTTCTACATTTCTAAGCCGTATAAACCAAAGTCATTTTTGAAACATCCATTTGTCATTAGCAGACACATATCTGGGCAGCCAGTTGAGATCAATATATTGGGCAACAGTCCAGGAAAATGTAAATTTAATTAGATTGGATTTCCTTTGAGGCATTTTTCCATTGACAAAAGGCTTCTGATTACAGCTCCCAGTGGAGGGTAGAATTGTTTGACATTTACATATGTATTTTATTATTAATATTTGGAGGAGGGTTTCTAATCAACACTTAATAATTATGAAATTGAGAGGCTATGAGAAGTCTCCTAATAGGAGAGAAGTTCTGAACCAAGAAAAAAAAAAGGAGGGGAGGAATTTATGACTTCAGGCTTGAAGAAAGGACACGGGTTCTTTTGTTGTTCAAAGAACCCCTGACATTCCCTTTTTCCACTTCAGGTTGCGACTTGTACGCTTTCTGCGGGGCGCTCTTCGGGATCACCTCCATGATGACCTTGCTGGCCATCTCCGTCGACCGCTACCTTGTGATCACGCGGCCGCTGCGCTCCCTGCAGTGGAGCTCCAAGCGGCGCACGGCGCAGATCATCGCCCTCATCTGGCTCTACTCGCTGGCGTGGAGCGTGGCCCCGCTGCTGGGCTGGAGTACGTCGGCCGCTCTCCTCCGCGCTCTCGGGCCTGGCGTGCCTTGCTCGGGATGCAGAACAAAATAGGGTTTTTGAAAAGCTCTCAGGTGGAGGCATAGCCATTGCGCCACTTTCTTCTTTTTTTTGTCATGCAATGTATCTGCACTTACAGCAGTGCAGATACATAGTTTTTTCCCCATTTGTATTCAAGCAGGTCAAACTGCAGGTAGACACTAAGTGTATTAAGTCTAGCAGTGAAGAGCTGCTCTCCGAGTATGCCCTTGAGTTTTCATACCCTTGCATGGCCAGGGTAACTAATGAAGGCAATCTATATAACACAACCTTTAATTACTCAAATGTTGATCGGTAACTCTGCAAGCTTTGGGCATAAGTGTGTAAGTCATCTATTTCATGTATTTCATAGGTTCCTATGTGCCTGAGGGCTTGATGATATCCTGTACGTGGGACTATGTAACCTACTCCCCAGCAAACAGAAGTTACACCATGATTTTATGTTGCTGTGTGTTTTTTATTCCTCTGGTAATAATATTCCATTGCTATTTATTTATGTTCCTGGCCATAAGAAGCACTGGCAGGTAAGCAATGTAGCTGAAATGTGTAAATCTCTCTTTTATTGCCTTAGAAGATGTTCTCAGTTTCCTTAGATATAGATAAATCTGAACTAGAAATTAATCCAAACTGATTTAGAGAGTAGAGGGACAGATCATTTACTCATAAATGGAGAAAGTTCTTGCCAATGTAATATTTGGAATAGATATAATTATGCTGGAGCAGGGGAAGAAGTCTCAGGTTGTTCTAATCTAAACCCTGACAGTTCCAATTAATAGCATATAGTACTTGGGTCATCAACTGCCTTGGACCTGATGCATAAACAAAACAGTTTCTATGTTTTTCTTTTTCCTCTATCTAACACAGACACCCCAACTTGTATTTTACTTGTGCAGAATAGCAACTGCATGCACAAAATCTGGTTATGCTTGTAAGGATGTAACTTTTTTTTACAACATTCTTGCCATATACTTGTAGATTTGAAGTAAAAAGCAGCAGGTTATTGGATGGATAAGGTAATTTTGGTTTGTCACCTTTTCTCTTTTCTCCTAACGAGTGCATTTGTGTTTGAGCTGATCAAGCACCAGCTGAAGCTCCAGGTGTTCCTGCTGTGTCATCAGCTCCCATGGCTTTTCTCAACAAAACTGTGCTTGTTTTCAGGCACATGCTGAGGTCTTTGGGCTTCACAAGACTAAACTCCACATTTACTCAGCAGACCTCCCTACAAGTAGATTTAGCTGTGTGTCCAAGTTGAAGCTCTTACTGAACTGTCTTTTGACCTTGGTTTTATTATGCTGTGTGCTTATGTATTTCTTAATAAGCAAAGAGTGATCCTTAAGCCAGTACTTTCCTCCGGGACCACAAACACGGTGGCAACAGGATTTTTTTGACTTTCACTCATTTTTCATGTATTTCCCAAAATCCACTTTACCAAGGCTTGTTTGTGGCTGCCCATCCCATAATCCCCAATCCCAAGGGTCCTCTGGCTCTATCCCGTAGCAGACAGAGCTCAAAATGCCTGGGACCATCTGATGACCATATTTCCCATCTCTTAAATTTTTAAGAGCCTGAGCATGAGACAGTAGTCAGAGCTGGGAAAGATGAAGACCGCTCCATGTCTCATATTCCCAAAAAGGAGTTGCAGATGTTGCACCTGATTTTCTTCACTCCTGCTGACGTATCTGTTTCTTTTTCCCTCACTGTAGAGATGTTCAAAAGCTTGGGTCCTGCAATCGGAAATCCTACCTCTCTCAGTCCATGAAGAATGAATGGAAGCTGGCAAAAATTGCTTTCGTGGCCATCGTTGTATTTGTCTTATCCTGGTCTCCATATGCTTGTGTCACTTTGATTGCCTGGGCAGGGTAAGCACAAACATGATACAAAGAAGTTAGGTTACATTGAAATAGGAATATGATTAGTGTTGTCACCTGCGAGAAACAGTTCTTCCATTAAAAATAATGTAATATCCTTATTACAGGGGAGATGATACTGCATTCCTTACTCTGTCCTTGTGGATAAATCCAGGAAAAGGGATGTTAGTCTGCTTTTTTAAAGTACTATGGCCTTTAATGTTCGTTTTCCTCGAGACAAAAAGGGGAATATAGGTCTCAATCCACTTCCAGTCCTCTCTTTCCTTTTTAGTGTTTGGAACTAAGTCATTGATACCCATTACTGTGCAGCATGGAAGCTGTTGCCAAAAAGTTTTAGTTTTGAATCTGCTTTCTTATTGCCTTTCCTCTTTCTTGGAAGATCAAGAATAGAATATCCTATACACAACCAAATATACACAGACAAGTTGAAGTTTTCACTCTGAGGAAGGAATTTATATTAATGAATTAATTTTTGGAAAGTGTACTTCCTGATATGGGATCACAGCATAGAATTAGTCAAAAAAGAATAATGCATTTTCAGTAATTTAGCACTAATCCGTGGCATTAGCTCTGTGTCATGTTTTTGCTTTGTTTTAGCCACAGCAACATCTTAACACCGTATTCCAAATCTGTGCCAGCTGTTATTGCCAAAGCTTCTGCAATCTACAACCCCATCATATATGCAATAATTCATCCAAGATACAGGTACAGTAGACATATAGGTATGTGTATTGCTATTAATGTAGGCATGCTTTCTAAAATGAACAAACGAGTCACGTTCTCCCTCAGTCCCACCTCGCACAGCCCGTGCTCCGGTTGTGCAGAGCTTTGGGAAAAGCTCTGTTGAAGCAAATATCATTTCCATATGCTCAGTGAAAAGTAAGAGCGCTCAGAAGGGAACAATCAACATAGAGTTCCCTAAAATTTAGAAAGAGTTTTCCAATGTACTTAAAAGTATTGTTTTTCAGTTAGAAAATTTGCTAGCTCTGGTCAGCAAATATTTGCCTTAAAAAAAAAATTAAGCAAATGGTTCTAAAATACTCTTGCTGAAGGATCTCTTTGGAAGGCTCAGGTTTCATATTTGTTTTATTTAGTCATCTCAGGTAAATTTTAGGAGAACCTCTTCATTCTTCACCTCTTTCAAAAACATTAGCTTTCCCTTTTAAGAAGAAGCATCAGACTGCAGCACTATGGTTCAACATACAGAACAATGTTGATCACTTGTGTAGAACACTTCTGCTTTTTTATGTGCTGGAAATATTTCTGAACTGAGGGCTTCGACAGAAAAACTGTTCAGCATTTTCATTCTACATATCATTATGGATATCAGTTAGGAAATATCTTAGAGAAAAAGAGTGGCATCCTATCACAGATTTTACTAATTCTCAAATACCATGCGACATGAATAAGCTGCATTTTCTATATTGAGTTTTCCAGTTGTATGGGAAAGGATATTTGAGGGAGATCAAAACCAGACGGGAGAATTGCTCTCCCATCTGTCAGTGCTGAGTATAGCCAATTGCATCATGGATATTATAGACCCACCAATGTAGACTTAGAACATGAAATGATGCATGTGAAATTTCTGGACAGCATCACTACCTCACTTTATGAATCTTTCTTTGAGAATCTTTTGAATTTTGTGCTTTGCTGGTCCTTCTTTTAAATCCCACTATCCACCTCAGTTACATTTAAAAAAAAAAAAAAAAAAAAAAAAAAAAAAAAAAAAAAGGCTTGTCCTTGTGAATATTTGGCTGACTTTCCTTCTTTCCTTTCTATTTTCTTGTTAATTCTCTCATAGCCAGGTTGTAAGTATTGAAGCCAAAAGTTTTAGTTTTGAATTCTGTTTTTTTCTGTTTGTTTTTTTTTTTTTTTTCTGAATCCAGTTTACTGGATTATAATGAAGTGAGGGGTAGAGCATAAAGATAATTTGCTCTCGCAGAGATGATCAGCAAGGTAATAATGAGTTATAAGAAGAGAAGATTTCCATAGATGTCCATACAGCGGCACAGATGGGAAATGTATTATATAGGGTGCAGAAAATAACAGTTTAGTATCCTTTAAAAGATGGTTCCCTTTTGAGAAGAGTGAGAAAGCTATATTTTTAAGCTTATTTTTATTTTTAATTGATTTTTGTTTTTATTTGCTTTAATTGATGTGTTTTTGAAACCTTTGCACTGGAAAATATGTTATTATATGAAAGCTGATTTTTTCCCTGATTTGCCGTTTCTTTAGGTTTTGAGCAAATCTTTCCAAGTGCATCCTCCACCAAGGGGTGACTTCTGTCATCGCAAGCTGAGTGCACTAAATGCCACGAGGTGGCAGAGTTAGTTTCTGTAAATTTTTTGTTTTCAGCAGTAAAGTGGAAAGGCTGTTAAGTTATATTGCCTGAAACTATGTTTCTATGTTTTGGGAGATAGAAAACACAGGCAGGTAATTATTTTGGATGTCTGATGAAGGAAAGCATGGTTGTAAAAACAGCAAAAGCTTCTTAGAAATTTGGTAGGAATACACCTATAATGGTGAAAATATCTATTTTGTATGAATATATCTGCTATAGTAACTAAAAGTTTTGCATCCACCAAGAACAGAGCCCATGTTAGCTTTTGAAGGTTAATGAGTACCTTTATTTAGGATTAAAAAAAAGATACTGAGTCTCCAGTGGCTTGCAGATGTTTAATGAGAAGATATGCATGAATGGCTGACATATTATGAACCTATTTGTTTTCTTCTTTTTGACCCAAAGTTGTTCTGTTCAGTGATTTGCATAGGTTATTTTTCCAAGGTCAAATGCACTAAAGCAGATTCTATTTATTGACCTGCTTTGGTGAGTTTTTTTTTTTTTTTTTTTTTCCTCATGAAAGTTGGCTCTTGCTTTTTAATGAGAAAATATGCATGGCCAAGGGATGCATTATGAACCTGTTTGTTTGTTTTCTTTTTTTAAGCCAAAGATATTCTATTCAGGGATTTGCATAGGTGGTTTTTCCAATGTTGAGTGAGTGTTTTCAAAGCAGATGCTGTTTAGTGACCTGCACTGATGAGGGTTTTTTGTTGTGAGCGTTGGCTTTTCCTTTCTCAGAACACTTGAAAAGCGAGTGTGCATTAAGGAATGGGTTTGTGCGGGATTTTGAGGCTCTCATAAAATACATTTTTTCCCCTACCTTCCAGTGTGTCTTTTTAGACAAAGGGGGATGTTTGTGCAGTTGTTGTGAGGGCATTTTGCAGACTTTGGAAGTCATTCAGCTAGAAAAAGAAGTCACGTCGTGTCACTGGTGATGGATCAAGCGTGAAGTTGAAGTGAAAAAGTAGCTGCAATTTGTACTTTGCCAACAGTCAGCTGGTGAAAATCTGTTGGCAGGACCGATCTTGCTTGAGCAGTGAATAATGACTGCATGTGTAAAGATCAGGGTTTCTGAATCGTTTCCAGGTGTTTTAATCACACACATTGTGTCTTTAAAGTAATTTATTCCTAGTGAGCCTGAACAGACTGGACATTTGGTATTGGATACACCGAACTGGGTTAAATTATAATCCCTTTTCAAATCTCTCTGAGGGGAGGCACCTAGAAATGGGCACCTAAAGAATTTGGATACAGATCAGACTGATTTAACGTCCCACCATGGCAGACATCAAAAGCTACGTCTGTGTGCTTCTGCTTCTTGTCTCAATTATGGAAAAAAGTTGGCAACTCTTTTACTACATGATCTTGAAACTCAAGTTATCAGTGGTGCTATTATAGTTTGTTTTTCTTCTCCTATTTTCCTTCAGAAAAACCATCCACAATGCTGTCCCTTGCCTGAGGTTCCTAATTCGGCTGTCAAAGAACGATCTCCTGAGAGGCTCCATAAATGAATCTTCCTTCAGGACTTCTCTCTCCAGTCACCAGTCTTTTGCTTTCAGGACCAAAAATACTTGTGTTTCATCGGTTTCCATGGGAGAAGCTGTAAGTCTTGTCTTGTTTCTGTAAAGGGAAGCAAGTATGTCTGACTTGTCTGACTCTAAGTGTAACACACAGGATTACAGGGAAGTCGTAGCAGTAGAGTTACTGGAGTCAGAAATCAAAAGCAGAGATTTGTCATTCACCATAAGAAAGTGTTTGGATACCACTCAATGGACAAGCTACTTCTAGAGACTTCCTCTAGATCTGCCAGTCTCTGTCTGTTGATTCTCATTAAGTAGATGAATCAAAGTTTCCTTAAAAATTAGAATAATAATTAGAATAGTGAAAAGGCCTTTTAGCCTGGGTGAAGTTTATTTATTTATTTTACTCTACTGTTACACAGATTGTTTTTGAGCCAGATGGTGTTAGATGTGTGTGCAGAATATTACACCACTGTACAAGAAACACAGTGCAAGAATCCCCTAATTTGCTAGCCTCAGATAGCACAGTTTTCTAGGCACAGGCAGCATTTTCATAGTCATCTGATTGCCCCTACACTAAAAAGGTCTCGGCCTGATAGAGAAAGCAAAAGTGAGCATTTCCTGAGCCATTTTCAGGAGTGACTCACTTTCGTGTGTGCTCTGAAATGTTGTGTTTGGCTTGACTCTGAAAGGTATTAAAAATGGACTAATGATTCCATTGCAATGTGAATGAAGACAAAATCGTTTAGCCTGCTGGTTTAATACCATTCACAGGGCACTGATTACACAATGATCCATATAGAGTATTTACTGTGATTATTTCATAGCCTATAAAACTCTTAGAGTGTCCTTGATATAGGAGGTTAGTATGTGCAACAGGCAGAAGTCCTGTTATCCAGAGGTGTATATTTTGTGTAACATTGTTTAACAGACTGAGCAAACATGCAAAGACCCACACATATTTGCAACCCACTGAACTGCATGGACTGTGCTTGCCTGCATACGCTTTGCTTGTGCTTAATTCGCTGGTTGCTGACAGTGGGTAGAGACAGGAAAATGTACTGGAATCATTAATAACAAGGAGGTTACTCATCTACTCATTTCTAATCTCTTGTGTTGCCTCTTTCACCTTATAACTTTCCCTGACTTATTCCAAATTTCTCCCTCTGTTAATCATTCATTTAATATCAAAATTAAATGAATGCCATGTGCAGAGGGTGAAAGATATTTACAAGTTAGTTCTGTGACAGAAGTGGAATCACTAAAGCAATGAGAATAAAAAGGGCCAATGGCATCCTGGTAAAAAGAGATTAAATCATTTTTCATGATCTCAAATGTTTCTTGGCTCTCAGAAGAGCAGTCCCAGGTAAGTGGCAAGATTAAAAATCAGGTCTGTCCCCAGGGGAAGTTTTAGGTGTGAAATCTGTGCTTGAAGAACTTTAGCTTTCTGTTAGTGCATAAGCTTCCTGCTCATCTTGCAGGTGAAAAAGACAGGCTAGAGTTGGAGAAGGTTCAGAATTTGTGAAGGGCTGTAATTGTGCAAAATCTTTCACCATTTGTGTTTAGACCTGGAGCGATGTGGAGCTTAACCCTGTAGAGCCAGCTAATCAGAAACTGCAGGCTCACCGAAGTCACTCCTTTTCAACAAGTGTGAGACAGGAGAAGAGGGACCTGCTCCCAAAGACTCACAGCTGCAATGCAGTAACTGCAGAAAAGGTCAGGAAAAGAACTACATCTCCTCTGGGAGATCTCAATTTTAGTGTCTCGTCTTTCTCCTGGAAGTTATTTCTGGAATTATAATTCACTCTTTGTACGTGTCTGCTGCATCTGTAGGCCTTGTTCGTACTGATTCTGACATCCTCTTCATCACAATGTATTTTTTATTATTACTATTGGGAATCCTAGTAATGCCTTATTAAATTTTTAATGGTGGTGTGTTGCCTTGTTCTGGAAAGCCCAGGTCAGTCCACAGCTCCAAAGTTGAGCAGAGTCAGTAGGACAAAAGCAAAGAAGTTGTAGATGAGGCGCTTAGGGACATGGTTTAGCAGGCATGGTGGTGATGGGTTTACAGTTGGGCAGGGTGATCTTAAACCACTAAGCAAACCACTATTATTCAATTCTTTGTCCCTCTGCATGTTTCTTTACCCCAGATCTGATTTCTCTCATTCTGGCACTCTCATCCATCACAGCAACCTCCATTTGTTACAATCAGGGCTGCAAAATGGAGTTATCCATGTGGGAAGCCACCTTTTTTTTCCCTCTTTGGCATCCATTAAAATGTTTTATTTTTGTTGAGGGGGAAGATGAGAAAGAAACTCCCATTTCTCCCTCAGAGTAGGAGAGTCTGGGAGCTGCCACCCTTCTCTCCCGGAGAAAGGAGATGGTGAGTACTGAGAGCATCTTCAGTGGATGCATCGCACCCATGGCCCAAACCGCCGAGGTCTGAGGCCATGCCCTGAGGAGCATCCTTTTCCCTGAGGATGGGAGCAGTAGGTCACTTTCCAGGCAGCTCATGTCAGTACTGCAAAGTTGGTTCAAAACCAGTATTCGTATGGCTGACAGTGTTGACAGTGTCAAGTATTCACCAGTGCTCAATTTTGAAGAACAAGAGGAGTAGGGCTTACGAGGTAAAGTTGATTAGCACCCATGCTAGTCACACCACTTCATGGCGTGACATAGTGGCTATGTGAGGAACTAAGCAAAGCCCGAGTAGGCTACAGGATCTCCTGCTTGTCCCTTTACTTCCTCCCAGCATTGTGGTTAATTCTCCAGGACAGCACAGTTCAAAACAGAAGCTGTTCTGGGAATTTCCAGTGGTCTGATAATCCCCTTGTTGCATGCATCCACCTTGTCTTCTGCCAGTGGTCACCTTAAGGTCTGGTCAAACCTTAGTTGTTTTATTTAACTCTTGTGAATAGCATTGGCTGAAAGTAGAAACAGCACAGAAGAGATGGCTGTGGAGGCACAGGCTCCTCTATCCTGTTCCCATCCCAGCCAGATGAGGTTGTTTTGGACTCTTCTCTGCCTTGGCAAAAAGGCAAAGATAACTCTGATGTGGTCTTTATAAGCTTATCTAGTAAATAATATTTTAATAATCTGGAATTTAGTAACCATGTAGCTCATAAAGAGATTCAAACACTACACTTGATCCTTGAAAGATGGTTGCTATCATGTAAAGATGAGCGATGTGCTACTTTGATAAATAGCTTTTAAATGCAGTGCCTGAAATCTAAGATTATCTGCAGGGTTTCAGATGTGCGGTCTAGTACACTGAATGTTGAAAACATTCAGCAATTTGTTTTTCCCAGTATTTAGAACTAGTATTCCTGTGGGTTGTGAATGCTTTTTGTGTTAGTTAAATGCATAAATACATACACATTCATTCTACTAGAATGCTTATCTATCATAAACAATCAGACTATTTCAATACCAGTCCAATCTTTTACTCCTTTTTTTAAAAAAAAAAAAAAGGCAAAAAAGCTTAGCAAAAATGCTAAGTTGCAGAACAACAATTTTGAACTTGGTCAAAGGTTGTCTAACTTTTGATTTAACAATGTAAGATTCTTCTTTTCCTTAAAAATGGTTTTGTTTGTTTTTTTCCTTTAAGCATACCATCTCACTGATGTCTTAAACATTTAGCTATGTGCAAAGGATTCATGCTTGTGGAGTAGAACTGTGTCATGTTGCAGTATATACCCATTATGTACATAGGACCCTAGGTTGAGGCACAGCAGCAAACTTCTCCCACCATTTTCTTTATAAAAGCTAAGAAAAGTGCTCAAGCATAAATTTATTTAGAGTCAGGGTATGTGGAATTAGTGACTCTCACTTTCTCACAACTAGGCATGATATCCATAACCCTATAATAGCAACGAAAAGGCCACTTCCTCCAGAAGCTATTTTATTTTTTTTTCTCCTCAGGTTTTCTTGTCTTTCCATTGTCCTGAGTATTTCAAACACTGACTTCTGTAACCAGTAGGATCGTGCTCAAGCTTATGTCTCTACTGCAGGTTTCGCTCTCCTCCAGCTGTTTGGAGAAGGTTGTGGGGCGATCATCTCTACACAGCCCCCCTGAAATGCTCGTGGCCAGTTCCCTAAAAGCAGCTTCTCTGCCCGTTGGTTTGAATAGCAGCAGTATCGGCAAAGGAGGAGATGCAGCTGCTTCCCAAGTGGAAACTCAAGTTAATGGAGGCCTGGACTCTATCATTAGCAATACTGTCCCTCGCATCATTATCATCCCTACATCTGAGACCAACCTGTTTCAAGAGGAACTGGAAAATGAAGAGGAAGAGTTTGAATTGTTCCACTTCAGTGACAAAAAGAGCAATCTGCTGGACTTAGAAGGGCTGAGCTCTTCTACAGAGTTCCTTGAAGCTGTTGAGAAATTTCTATCATAATATGCCAAAAGAAAACTTTCCCGTAAATATTTTCTTGGCATATTCTCCACCCAATTATACCAAATAGCTGCAGCCTTGTAGGTTAGATCATCAGAATTGTTGTTTGTTTATATGACAGTCACTGGCAGCCTTCAGATTTGTCTTTGTCCAGATGGGTCCAGGTGTGTCATGAGGCTTCCAGCTTGCTCTGCAGCACCTTGGCATCTGCAGTCATGTGTGTCCATGCCAAATGCCAGCGGAAGGAAAAATACATGTGACCACTAGCAGCAGCTGAGTATTTCTGCTACTTGCAAGAAACAGCATTTGTGTTTTGGCAACTTTCTTCTGTAATAGGAAGCTCTGTCCAAGATTACTCCAGACAGTGAGGAAATCGGAACCATCTTTTAATCCAGTTCTTCTTAGATATGTATATTTTTTAATAAGCAGATCGCTAAACTTCAAAAGATGGACTTATCACACAGCTATTTACTGACACGTCTTAGTATAAGCTTGGATTGTCCCTCAGTGTTAGTGCAATCTCCCAACCATCAAAATGCAAGGTCTGCTATGTGCAGTCCTAGCAGTGGAAGCACCTTCAGATTTACAGACTTGACTAAACATGTAGGAGTCCTAAGTTGATTAAAAGGGTGAACTTTTACCCTTTATCCTTTTATCCTATAATATCCTTATTAATCGGAAAAAGGGAAACCTGGATGGCTGTGCATCACTTGCTTCTTCAAGGGAAATTCTTCTCGTCTTCTGGATGTCTTCTTCATCAAGCCACTATAACGCATCATTTTGAAGAGAAAACTCTGCCGTACCGTGGTGTTTGCTACAGGACCGTTGTTTGTGGTTATCGATTGTGCTTGTTTATTTGCACATCTCCTCATCTATGCCTGAGGTTCATAGCACCCTCCAAGCATTTTATTTCTGTTTGCATTCTTTTTCTTTACTCATTTTCTCTTGCAAAAGCATACCTTCCACTCCATCCATCTCAAACTCTAACCTTCAAATGTAGACAGCAACTATATTCTTTTCAAAGTAATAGCAATGTAGTAGAAAAGAGGAGTTTCCCTGGGTGTAATAGTGCAAATATTCACTTGAGTAAGTCTTGTAGCATTCAGACATCCAGCAAACATCTGGATTTAGGAGTTTGTGTCCATTTTTTGCATTTTATTTCAATTCTGTATCATACTTTGCATTGTACAGAGAGCAGTCCAAAGATGTCTGTACACACTGGCTGATCTAAAAAAAGTAATTTTAATTCTTCTCATGCAAAAATTAAAAACAGATGGAAATCGTCGACGCTTTTTTCCTAGTAACAAAAATATAATCCAAATCTTGTTTTCAGCTTCATGGATGGTAGATGAGTCTGAAACACAATCATAAGACAAATTAAAACCAAGGCCATGCAGGAGGGGCTTGGAAGGTGCCCAAACTTAGCAACCCTGTGGCTGTTCACGGTGTTCCTGCAGGTAAGCCAAACCTGTCAACTCGGTAAGACTTGAGACTTGCTCCTGGTGTCGGTGGTTCTCTCTTTGGGCAAAGGAAGTGCTGGAAAGCTACCAGAGTGACTGCTGAAAAAGGAGGTTTGATCCTGGGCTAAATCTACCGTTCTGCCAAATCTGATTCTGCTGATCCTGTCCCTTCTAACATTCTGTTTGTTTGTTTTTCCTTACATCAGCTGTGCAGCCTGTGATCTTACTTTTGCTAGTATTTAATATCCTGAGTTACAGGGCTGACTCTCTTCCCTAAACAAATGACAAATGTTGGGATACAAGCACTCTTTATAAACCTTCCAACTCCTGCACCTGACTTTTACTCCTTTAATTCCTCTAAATAATAGTAACAAATGAGTTCGGTGTTCTCAGATATAGCAATATCCTGAAGCAGATGTGTGCTTGTCTGACTGTAGGCAGGATATTGTTGTAGTTTCCATCAGGATGAAGTGACTGAATCGTAAAGAAGCAGTGAAGAAATTCCTCTGTATCCAGATGGAGTTTTTCCTTCTGTTTTTAGCCTTCAAGGTGACTTCACAGTCATCTTTGCAGTAATGTGGCTTGAGGTATGTACAAAGAACTGCTTTGTTCTTATACTGATAATGTATGTTAGTACTGTGAGTACTATTTCTCTTCCAAAGCCAGCATCAGGCTGTTTGCTTTTTGCTGTAATGTGGGCTGGAATGCCAAAAGACAGCAGAAGAACCCCCCACAATGAAATACCAGCTTTATTACCATCATTATGTAATTTTGCAGAAATACTGATTGCAGGTATATCTGTCTTAAATTGTCTATTAGGGAATATTTTTGTGCACGTCTCTGTTGCCATGTTTGAGTAGATGCCATGTAAAAACCTACTATATTAACTGCTGCTCCTCATTTCACAAGGACATGTATTGGTTCACTCAAATGGAATAAAACACTCCTTACGAACAAAATTAAACTACCCACTGTTCATTTTTCTTCTTCAGTGATGTATTTCTGTAACCAGAAAGGGAGGAAAGGTAGGGGTGTGTGTGTGTGTGTGTGTAAATGAGTGATGGGGAAAGGTGTACGTACAAGTTAGTTTGAGGTAAGTAATTTAGACTATTCACATGCACCCAGGCACATTCATAAGTGAATGCAGAGCTTATGGGTTGCCATTTAAAATTAGAGCTCACTGCTTTGGGAAAACTTGAAGTTTGCTCCTCATCTCTGAAATGATTGCAATTGGGATGCCAGAAGTCAGGCAAACAAAACTGAAAAAATGGCCAAGTTGGCACATTACAACTGTGTTAGTCTTTGGTATTTGTCCTAAATCTGTCAGCTAACAAGCCAGTAATTCTTTGTTTCTGCCAAATCTTTGTATAAAACAATTATAGGATATGGTCCAACTTTCCTGACTGAAACCTTAGAGCAGAAGCGTGCCCTTTTGTTTTACTATGAATCTGTGGACAAGGAATTTAAATTTTTGTAGTGAAATCTATGGTTAAATAAAGGTTTCAGATAAGGAGAAAAAAACAAACAAACAAAACAAAACAAAAAAACCTTATATGAATGTGTTTACACTTGATGTATTTATTGCTTTGGGTTGGCAGGAAGGAGGAACCAACGCATAGACTGTTACTTAATGTGAACATAGGAGTAAAATGGACACGTGTGAAAGATTATGGAGTTTGGCAGGGTATGTCCTCTTTTTAGTGAATTTGGAAAAAACTCATAAGTAAGAGGGAAGTTAATTTAAAAAAAAGTTAATAAAAATAAATTTAAAAAGTCAATATATGAATTCTATAAAAGAGACATTTAGTTTTCATTTCTTTTCTAAAACAGAACAAACTCTCAATCCCCCACAAACAACCCCTGCCTAATCCCCTTCAAAGTCAAATCACAGAAGTTAGTTAAATAAGAGTTAATGCAATTATTATAAACCATATTGAAATTCTATGCCTCAGTAGCAAAAGTGTAGTGCTAGACTGGTAAGGATGGTCATGCACTAAGGAAGATCAATAAGAGTGTAATGGCAAAAAAAGAGTTATAGGGAAGATTTCGTTACCTTTTCCTGTCTGTTTTGAGGAGAGGGCTCAGCAGGTTTGGCAGTGTGCCAAGTGGCTTTTTATATGCACTGTTTTATTGCTTGCAGAAAAGTTACAAGTAACCATAAAGTATGTAAATTTATCACCCTTCGAAGGACTGCTGGTGTTGTGGCTGGAGAATACGGAGCTGAGATCAGGTGAAGAGAGAAGTTTGTATTGGACATGAATCTTGTGAATTCTCTGGAGAGAAGTAAGTCCTCATCCCTTCTTCACCTTTGCACCAAAGATGCTGCTGTTGTAGCTGTGTTCTCTTTTTAAATCAGGAATTTGATCTTCCTAATGGTTTCTTAAGTTATTTGAGACAGCACAGGTTGTTTGTTTGTTTAGTTTTTTGGATCTGTTTCTGTCTGCTGGCAAAACTTACTGTGGGACAAGTTCCCTCACTCCTGGAAGATGTGCAGTGAAGCTGTCTGCCTGAGGAAGTATTTCTTCCTATTATTCCCAAAGAAGAGCAATATATAGAACTTGAAATGGAGTCCATATTTAGATGTACAATGAAGTCCATAGGTCAAGAAGAAGAAAGTAAATCCAGCTTTTCAAGTTTTAAGACATAAGGTAAAATTTACAGTTTGCTCATAGATTGAAAGCAAATCATGCTTCAAGTATTATCAATGTCAATAGTCACAAAATAGATAAAATGATGCAACTAACAGGGGCATTAGAAGTAAATCATAGGTCTGCTTGACAAAGAAAAAGCCTTTATTAAAGTCGCATAACAGATAATGTACTTACATTAGTGTTTTTTTTTTTTCTACTGTACAATGATTTAAGAAAGGATGACTGCTATATACACCACCAGGTGGGAAAAGGCAGTAATACCACTGCATTCAATCTTATCCTGGAATGATGAAATGATCATAATAGTACAGTGCATCACCAAGTCTCTTCACTGCTCCTCCTCACTTATTATCTTCATGAATCTTCCTTCAGCTTAGATTATGTTGGGAAAAGACTAAATGACATAGTATGTTGAAGTTAGTGATGTAAATTTTAACAATGTAAATGTCAATGATGTAAATGTCAAGTAGTTTTATATTTGTGGGTACTTCAATCGGAGTGTTGGTTGCTCATTGGAAATTCTGGATCACCATTCTCTTCTATGGACAGATAGTGGTGTGAAGAATAGACCACAAAGAGTGACAGATGACTGCTTCTGCAGGACAGCATCTTTTCTTTCCGTTTCAACCCAGATGGATCATGTTATGTACTTCTGTTAATTAAGTGTTGTACGCCACTGTTTTCCCTTACACCTGTCGTAATACGGCATAAAGAGTGGATTGTGTTATGATGCGAGATAATATTGATTAAAAAAAATCAAAAAGGCAATACATACCAAACATTTTGCACCTGTTAAAATTACTTCCAGTATCTGTTCAGGAAATGCATTTTCAAGTGTTAACAGTTGCAGTACTGGTACTAATGATGAAGTTTTTGTGAATTCCTCCAAAGCTTTTCTTCCAGTTTGTGTTTAGGTCTCACTTAGAGTAAGGAGTCAACTTCATCCTTGTTTTCTAATTAATTTTCTTAGTTGATAATTGTATTTTTCATGTGCGACTCACCATAGGCTATATCTATTGTTTTCAACATTACTATCAAGCTGTTATGTCAAACCACATAAGTTCTTCAGCAGGTGT